TGATTTAAGTCATCTGGGTGTCCCATCACTAATCAGGGGCATCCCAGTAATTTCTTGTACCTTGTACTATATTCATCTATAAATAAAAGACTGGTCAACTGCCTAGTACAGTTCGACATTCTCTTCAGTTCTGTGGTTCTCTTCTCCTCCTTGCTACTTCGAGTATAGCTCTTCAGATTACAAAAGCAATAGAAAAAAGATGATAAGGAAAACAAAGGAAGAAAAATTGCAAATCCAAGAGCTAATGATATTTCAACAGGAGAGAAACACATTTCCACAAACAAAATCAAGAGTTGCAGACAAACAAAAAACTTAATCAATTAATTCATTCTTAACTTTGCAAGAAAGAAACCTAAAACCTAACTTGCTACATAAAGAAAGCATAAAAGATGTTCTAGCATCTTATTGAAGCATTCTCTTTCTAGCTCAACTTGGACGTACAAGAGTGGATTGTGCATGTGGTTTAGTGAAAGAGGCACAATGACCTTAAAAGTTATGGATCCAAAATGGAAATTGGGTTTAGTGAAGAAGCCCCAATTGCATTTTCCCAAAAAGAATGTGCTTGAGGCTCCAAAATATCCTGCATCCATGGATTCATAGAAAGCCTATAATCAGAAGATAACAGATTTTACTGTTACTTTTTTTATTGTTCAGATTTTTACCGTTGATCATTGACTGTTGATTCACAATTTACATTACATATATACTCCCACCATTCAGAGTTTGCAACAAATCATCCTGTTTATCTGTTAACAAACTCCTATCATTAATTTCTTGAACAAGTTATATGCAATTGATTTCCTTTTTTTTTGAACAATAAAATAAATTCATTAGAAATATTTAAAAATTACAAGACAGGGAGAGGTAAACTTTCTTAACTCTCCACAGACAAAAAGCTATTACAATTGAGCCCAAAACAACTGGTTCCTTCCCACCCCTTGTTTTGCTAAGACATCAGCAAGACCATTTTCTGCCCTTTTAACCCAACTGAACTGCACTTCCATATCTTGAGTCATCCACTTGAATCTCTTTTTTTCATTATTAAAAGTCCAGAAACCTTTTTCTTCCTTTTTGCAACCACTCCAATACAAGTTTTAAATCACCTTCTACAATCAGCTTTCTCACATTCAGATCTTTTGCCTTTTGCAATCCTTCCAGCCATAACATCAGCCCTTAGGGAGTTACCTATTCCAATTGGGCCTGAATATAGACCAATGGTCTTGCCTTCACTGTCCCTAAACACTCCTCCAATACCAGATGGGCCTGGATTCCCTACACTACTCCCATCAAAGGTCAACTTGATGTAGTCAACCATTGGAGGAGACCAAGCAGGGCTTATATTGGGTTTGTGGCAATCGGAACTAGCCACTGCCTTCCTAATTTTTGGGCCAGTAGTTTGTCATCAAGTTCTTGATGTCTTTGAGAGAGAGAGAGAAAGATATTCTTCCTTAACAATCTTGCAAGACTTCTGTATCTATCTGGATAGTATCTGCCATTTTTTTGATAATTAATAGAGACTCTTATTAATAATAAGAGAATAAGATAGAAAAGGAATTGGTATTCCTCTTAATCCACTAAAATTTAATTTCCATGTTCTGGGATATCTGTTTAAATTTCTTTTTCTCATTTAAGAACTTCCAAAATCTGATATCTTCCTTCTGCAGCCAACTAATAGCCAGCCTAGAATCACCTCCCACCATCAGTTTTCTGATATTCAGTTGTTGGGCTCTCTTTACCCCTTCCAAAACCACCATTATAGTATCTTCCAAATATATCTCATGGAGACTTAGGTGGAACTGCTTGTCTGGTTCAATACTTCTGATATTTTTTGATATTTTGGAATTCAGGAGTTTTCCCTTAACCTAACTTCGTTGTGCATCCTGATCTTCAACTATATACTCATTTGAGATACTTTTCAGATGTGTTTTACTGAGTAGTTCAAACAACTGCAGGAATTGAAAATTGAACAAAATTAGTAATATAGAGAACACCTTACAAGTCATATTCCATTACTTGAGAAAACCTGGTTCCTTTGATTATAAATGCAAAAGGAGATATTTACTATGAATAAGATGCTTTAATTTATTAGATAGAAGTGTCAAAGTACTACTATCAGCAAACCTAAGAGGTTGCCTAATTAAGAAATGAAGACTGCAAGTGCAAGCCACCTGGTTGAAAGTAACAACTTCCATGAGAAAGACCTACCCACCAACCTACCAGCTTCCTTGAACCTGGCCTTCGTTTTTTCCCAATCAGCAACTATAGCCTTCATTGCATAACCATTTGAACATTTCCCCCCCTGGAGAACAACAAAAACAAGGTCAAGCTATAATGAAGGTACAATCAAGAGCCAAATTTCAAAACTTCTTGTTTTGTAACATGACTCTCACCTGCCATATGCAAAGGGTTTTCCAACAGTAGTGTAAAAACAGAAAACCCCCACCAGAAGCATCAAAGATCTTCGAACTTTGAATCAGTTGTGGCTCATAGGATCAGTTTATTACTAATTGGATGGAAGATAGTTAATATCTTGAAAATTATATTTCACTTGAACAATCTTGAATTCATAATATTTAGCAGCAAGTTTTACTTCCAAGACCAGTAAACTACTGGTATGGACATGGACAAATTTATCTAGTGGCTAGAATTATAGTTGTCAAGGCGACGCCTAGGCAACAAGGCGGGACTGGATTTAGTAGGCACATCAAAGTAAGCACATTAAATGAGCACTTGATAAATATTTTGACAACTGTCAAAAGTGGGTATTAATATTTTCCAAAGGTGGGATGAGGGCATTTTAAGGGACAGGTGTCAAAAAAATTTTCAAGTGCTCATTGAACATGCTTACAACTTCGTGCCTACCTCATCCGAATCCCAACAAGGCAGCCATGGAGGATTGCCTTGTCCAAGCACCTAACTATTTTCTACAAGGTACAATATAATAATTTTATCTTTTTATTTTATGATATTATAATATTACAATAGACATAATTGGATTAAATTAGTCATTTTGTGGGTTCACAATATTTTAATAATTCATACACTAATTTCTTTTTATTATTTTCTTGTTCATGTGGGTTTGATTGGCATACAAGTTAGTTGACACTGTCTTGAACTCTCGAAGACTTCAAAACATGAACCAATAAACAAGGGAGAACTTGAAGATTTTTTATCTGATCAACACACAAGATTCTTTACTTTCTTGCTCATGAATATTTGATTATATATATATATATATATATATATATATATATATAAGAAGGTTGTTAGTGTCAACTAAATAAGGGTAGAATGGTCATTTGTATGTAAATTAGAAAGGCTAATACACCCTGGCCGAATGAGGAGAACAGTTTTTTTCTCTTCAGTTCGAACCAGGTTTTCTCCCCTCATTTTGGTGGATCTAGAAAAACCTTTAGAGACCCAGGAAATAAAAATAGCAATTTTCTCGATGTAAAGGTCTAAAGCACCCGGTCCAAACGATTTCACAATGGCCTTCTGTCAAGATTGTTGGGAGATTATTAGTGTTGATCTTTTGGAAGTGTTTGCTGAATTTTTTGAGAGAGGTAAGTTCAACTCTGGAGCCAATGCAACCTTTGTTGCTTTAATCCCCAAGAAGCCAGAAGTGTCCCACCCGAAAGACTATCGACCTATAAGCTTGGTGGGAAGCTTGTATAAAATCATCTCCAAGGTTTTGGCCGAAAGGATTAAGAAAGTCCTCCCTTGCTTGATCTCTCCAAACCAAGGTGCCTTCAGTTTTTGGAAGACAAATAATAGATCAAATCCTCATTGCAAATGAATGTGTGGAGTATAAGGGCCAGAAAAAGGAGAAAGGCATGGTCTGTAAGCTTGATCTTGAGAAAGCCTATGATTTGGTGGATTGGGAATTTCTTCTATAAGTTTTGAGCGTAGAGGCTTTGGGGTGAGGTGGTGTAAATGGATAAAGGGATGTATCTCCTCTTGTCATTATTCCATCTTGGTTAATGGGGTAGCTAGGGACTTTTTCCCAGCTAAGAGGGGTATTAGACAAGGGGATCCCCTTTCCCCCTTCCTTTTCACCCTAGTAGATGATGTCTTAAGTGTTCTAATTGCTAGGGCTGATTCTAATAATTTGATCAGAGGTTGGAGAATTGAGAGGGACGCAGTGGTGGTTACTCATCTTCAATTTGCAGACGATATTATTGTTTTTTGTGGAGGGGAGCAAGAGTAGTTAATCAATTTAAAGAGGTTGGTAAATCAGTTTGAAAAGGCCTCTAATCTCAAAATTAATTGGGGAAAGAGCTGTGTGGTAGTGGTTAATAAATCGGAAGAAGATGTAGGAATTCTTGCTAGAGTGTTGGGATGTGAAGCTGGTGATTGGCTGTTAGAGTATCTAGGATTACCTTTAGGAGGGAATCCAAAGTCAGAAAGCTTCTGGTACCCAGTTTTGGAAAGATTCTCAAAGAGGCTAGCAGGATGGAAGAGAAATTACATATCTCTGGGAGGAAGAATTACCCTAATAAAATCAACTTTGGCAAACCTACCAATTTACTTCCTTTCTACATTCAAGATCCCTACTAGTGTGGCTTTTAAACTAGAGAAATTAATGAGGGATTTCTTATGGGAACCAGGGGATACAAAGAAAGATCACTTGGTGAAGTGGGAGGTGGTCTCTAGAAGTAGAGATAGTGGAGGGTTGGGTATAGGAAACATAAAGCTAAGGAATATAGCCTTGTTGGAAAAGTGGCTATGGAGACTACCTCTGGAACAGGACAACTTGTGGCACAAAGTGATAGTGAGTATACACGGGGTAGCAGAAAACAGGTGGGATACTGGTCTTGACCCTAGGGCATCCCGGTCATCTCCTTGGAAAGCTATCCATGGTGTTTTACCCTCATTTCTTCCGTTTATCAGACTTGATGCTTGTGCAGGGAATAAAGTTCGATTCTGGGAAGATGTATGGTTTGGGGATGTCTCCCACAAAGATAGATTCTCCAGCGAATGGACTAGCCGACACCCTTGCAAAGCAAGGAACTTTCAAAGAAAACTTGTTTTGGACTGTTCTGTAATCAGAAAATACTTTTTCTTGGGGTAAACACCCTTGACTGGGTGGTGACAATGTATTCTCTTAAAATGTCTAATGAAAGTTACCGTTTCTGATCAAAAAAATAAATGATTCTGATACTGGGAAGATTTTGTTGGTGGTATATGTGGATGATATTGTTATTACCGGCAGTGACAGGTTCGGGATTGATAGGTTGAAGATCTTTTTGCATGATCACTTTCAGGAAAAGGATCTTGGCAAACTAAAATATTTCTTAGGGATAGAGGTTGCAAGGTCCAAATATGGTATTAATTTGTGCCAAAGAAAGTATGTCCTTGATCTACTGGAGAAGACAGGGTTGTTGGGTGCCAAACCAGCTGAAACACATATGGAATTGAATGTTAAGTTGAGTAGTGATACGGGTGAGGAGTAAGATCCAGGAAGGTACAGAAGGTTAGTGGGTAAGCTAAACTACCTAACTATCACTCGACCAAATATTTCATTTGCAGTTGGTGTGGTGAGTCGGTTTATGAAGAATCCTCGGATCCCTCATTGGGATGCAATTCTAATGATTGTAAGGTACTTGAAAGGTGCTCCGAGTCGTGGTTTGTTATACAAGAGTATAGGAAAACTTGAGATAGAAGGGTACATCGATGCTGATTGGGCTGGTTCTGTATCTGACAGGAAGTCAACTACAAGTTATTGTACCTTTCTTGGGGGTAACTTGGTGACATGGAAGAGTAAGAAACAAACAGTGGTGGCAAGAAGCAGTGCAGAAGCTGAATATAGAGCCATTGCACATACAACCTGTGAACTGGTGTGGTTGAAGAACCTTCTACAGGAGATGGAGTACTCAATTGGTATACCGATGAAGCTTTATTGTGACAACCAAGCTACTGTCCACATTTCCTCCAATCCAGTCTTTCATAAGAGAACAAAACATATAGAAGTTAATTGTCACTTTGTGAGAAAGAAAGTTCTTGGTGGAGTAATAAGTACAACTTATGTTAACACAGGAAGCCAATGGGCAGATCTATTCACCAAAGGGTTGAATCGGGCAAGAGTGGATTACATATATAACAAGCTGTGACTATATGATATATACTCTCCAGCTTGAGGGGGAGTGTTAGTGTCGACTAAGTAAGGGTAGAATGGGTCATTTGTATGTAAATTAGAAAGGCTAATACACCCTGGCCGAATGAGGAGAACAGTTTTTTTCTCTTCAGTTCAAACCAGGTTTTCTCCCCTCATTCTTCCTCTTTCTTTCCTCTCTTTTCTCTTATTCCTTCTTTTTCTTTTTCTTCCTTGATTAATCTGAAGGCTACAAGTTTACAGATCTGAACTTTATCAAAGGCCATTACCCAACGTTGTTCCCAACCATTTGGGGTCTTGGAAGGGGTGGACTGGATACAGACTTTTTTGGGGGCACAAAGTGGCTGTTCTCAGACAGTCAGAATTGAACCCACATTCTCATCTTGTCAGCCTGAGATTTTACCACTACATCAAGTAATGATAATTATTTGATGAAATGTATATTTCCAATATGAAGTTTACATTTATTTGATGAAGGTTATTTGTAATTATTAGTGAAAGATAATTGCTAGTTGCTATATAACCTAGGGAATTACCCTAGGAATTAGGACTTCTATCTAAAAAAAACCCATTGCCTAGGTGACAATGGCATTGCACTCCCCTGTTTCCTAGCTTCACTTTGGTGCCTTGAAAACTATTGGTAGAATCAAAATAGAATTGATATTTTTCTATTTCCAAGTCAGACTGGTTTAAATGCCTAGTTTATCCATGAAGTCAGATGTGCCTTGATTTTGATTGGAAGACCAGTAAAAGGTTATCTAATGAGAAATGCTTCAAGTGAAAAACATGGTCTATTCTGGTGCTTTCACTATATGCCCTTAACAAGATCTTGTCCTTGTCACGGTTTCTTTAACTTACAACTCTTAACAAGTTGGAATTCTTCTTCACAAGTACCAAAGTCGGTTGGCAACTTGGCTCTTTGAATTCCATTCCCCATTTACTAATAAAAACCTCAAATGGGTTTTACCATGTCTACCACAGAACCACCTGATAGTTTCTGACCAACATCTGATGCAGCATAGACTTGTTAGTGGCTCCAATGCATAATGCATCACCAAATGCCTTCACAAGCTTTCCTGTTATTATTTGACTTAGTTGTGACAATTACACCATTAGTGTCACAGTCAAGCCGATTGGCAAGATGGATCTCCAATGATTTGAGTTCAGATCATAGAAAACAAAGTTTCGATCAAGTTCCTCTTTTGTGGTACAGGGTTATGTTTCAATTGAAACCAGTAGAGAGAGATAAAACTTCAAAGAAACTTTCTGAATCAAAATAAATCTAAAGTATGATCCATAGTTGTCTAGGCACCTAAGCGACTAGGTGGTTTTCAATGGTCGCCTCACCCAAATGCCCTGGATTTTGTATACTAGGCGCCCGCCCAGAGACTTAAGCGGGCGCCTACATACAAGGTGGGTGCCTACATACATCTAATAAAATATTTTTTAATTTATTATTTTGATATTTTATTATATATTTTACTCTTTTAAAATAAAACTGGTTACATGCTATCATTTTATTATTAAGACAACAATACAAAGCCTTTTTCTTTTATTTATGCATAACATAAGGGCTTTTTCGGTTTGATTGGAGAGGGAGGAAAACCGAAGACTTCATGCCCCAGCCCAACTCCATCACACCTCAGCTTCAGCAGGTAAGTTTTTCTGCTTCTGCTTCTTCCAGACCAGCTTCAGTCATTTTTTTTTCTTTTTTTTCGAAAAAACAGGGGCTCCGCCCCTATACTCCTCCCTTCCTCCACAGCTCCACTCACTCTTCTTCTTCTTCTTCTTCTGCCCCTGATTGTTCTCAATCGCTAGTCCTAGTCTCAGTCCCTTTTTTTAAAAAAAAAACAGGGGCTCCGCCCCTGACTGTTCTCAGTCGATAGTCTCAGTCCCTTTTTTTTTTTGAAAAAGCAGGGGCCTATACTCCTCCCTGTCCCTAATCCCCTATACTTCTTCTTCCTCTTCTTCTTCCGCCCCTATACTCCTCTCATCCCTTCCTAGTTCCTGCACTTTTTTTTTTCAGTTAATAGTTAGTGTACATGCTTGCTAGTTAGTGTATAGTTAGTGTACATGCTTGCTAGTTATATGAAATTTATACTCATTTTAATGATTTATAGAGTTAATAGTTAGTGTACATGCTTGCTAGTTAGCACACAAAACCAATAAAATAGCTTAGAAAAGCATAAATAAAGTAAAAAACTCAAGAAAATTAACATTTTAAAATTCCTACACCTAGGTGCCTGGGCGCCCTGTGGTCCCCTAGCCTCACCTTGGCCTTGAAAACTATGGTATGATCTTAGGTATCAAAATACATCCATTCATTAGTCACTTCTCTCTTTGTTAGGCAATGAATTTTTTTCCTGTCCAGTATGGTGAACCTCTGATCACACCAGATTTGCAAGTGACACAAATACTCTGCCCTTCCCCTACTAATAAGAAAGGAGAAAGAGCAGAGATCAAATTGGCAATTTTAATCTTTAGAAGTAATTATTTTACAAACCCTAACAGAATGGCAGAACCAGTTCCTAACTAAAATCATATTCTCACTCAATATCTTTCTCACCTCTCTCACCACTATTGGTTGCGAAACAGAAACCGGTTGCCACCATTGTCTCTCATCTCTCACCTCTCTTACATTCATCTCTCACTCAAGCCCTAACAGAACAACTCTCCCTTCTATCACCGGACAACAAAGAAGAAGGAAATTGCAACTTTCTCTTTGATCACAGCTGAGTAGAGAAATGTAAGCTTATTTAGTTGGAAGTTGGAACTGCGGCTCGACATTCACTCTTTCTCCTATAGCCAAACAAAGGAGCTTTATAGGAACTCTCCTATTTTGTTTTCTGATTGTGAAATCTCTGATTTTCCCATATTTTTGTTTTCATTAACTTACATCCTGCCTGTGAAATTACCAAAAAAAAAGGTTTCATGGGTGACAATTAAAAAAGTATCATAGATTTAGTTGTTTCCAACAGTTTTTTTTTTATTTTTTATGGCTTGGTAATAAACTGAGTTGATATTTCATTGAAAATTAGTAACAAGAGGTACAGCAACAGAAATACAAGTAAAGAAACAAGAGTACCCCATTACTGTGCAATCAAGCAGCCTTTTGTACACTCCATGTAGGATGCTATCTATTCAAAAAGGCTGAGCTGTGTATAAGTAGCTTGTACAATTCTACCTGTCCCAATTCTATCCAAGAAATCTACTAGATCAAACCAGGAGATGAAAAATCCAAAGAACCCTTTTTCTTCAAAATTTCTTCTACCCCTTTGCGTGCATTGTTATATACATCTAATAAATATGCGAACGCCCTTCTGTCTTCTGCAGCACGTGCTGATGTCTCTCTAGCTACTCTTTGTAACTCTGTGAACATTGTAGAGAACCCCGCATTAGGATCAAGTTTAATTGCATGTCCACGATGATCAATTGTGGCTCCATCCTTTGCATCTCTTGTCCATCTTTTTAAGAGGTATTGTTGTGGGACTTGTTTCAATTGCCTTTCAAAAAGAACACAAAGTGCATGGGCACACAACAATCCAACAGACTCAAACTTCTTGCAACTGCATACAACCGCTACATTTAAGGGGTCAAATGTAACAACATGCACATTAGGTCTACTACAATCTTTTATTCTATACTCCATCGTTGTTCCAACTTCAGCTTTACTTACAATATCACAATCAAGGGCCCTTGAATATTCTTTTTCAAACTCCCTAAATACTGTAGGGGTATATATAGATGCGGCCCACTTCAAAATCCTTATCGGAAAAGACAAATAAGGTGTGCCCTGGCTCATCTTTACTTCCATCTCCATTTCTCTTTGACGACAATCTGCTACAACCTTTTCAAAATGATTAAAAAATTGAGCTAAATCAGGAGATGATTTCAAGTACCCTCTCAATATACTATTTACGCTCTTACTCCTTTGTGTACTTTTCATGTCGGCACAAAATTGATTTCGCCCATATACCAAAGACCACTTCTCCTTTACTTCAAATAATTCTTGAAGCCACGTATTTTCTTTTAACTCATATTTTTCAAGCATCTCATGCCATGCTTTAAGAAATTCGTCTTCATCCTCATGGTCATATATAAGGCTACTAAAGTCTTTCTCAAAGGATGAAGAAGCAGCAAATATACTACTAAAATGTTTGGTTGCATTCTGATATATATGCCATATACATAGGCGATGGCATGTGTCTGGAAATACTTGCTTTATTGCATTTGCAATTCTTGGGTCGTGGTCTGTAAGAATCGTTTTTGGTTGTTTCCCAGACATTGCTTTTAAAAAAGAGTGAAACACCCACTTAAAAGACTCAACACTTTGATCATACATCAATGCAGCTCCAAAAAAGATGGTTTGCTTATGATGGTTAACTCCAACAAAAGGTGCAAATGGTTGCCTCTCCTCATTAGTTTTGAAGGTAGTATCAAAACAAATAACATCTCCAAAATAACTATAATCAACCAACATCTTCACATCAGCCCAAAAGATGTTTGTTATTTGATTCTCTTCATCAAACTTTATTGAATGGAAGGATGATATGTTCTCTTCTTGCAATTTATCAAAGTACTTCATAATAGCTCTTGCACCTCCATTTTCCATGTCCTTCTTATTCTCTGCATGTGAATGATTGCTATAGTCAAAACTAGTAAAACCAATGCTTTCAATTCTATCAACTGGTCTATCCATAAATTCCAATGTAGCCTTTGGATGTGTACAAGAATCAGTTATAAGATCTGCTTGAGCATCATGAGCTATTGTTATATTCTTATGTGACCTTAGCATGTATGAACTTCTTGGATTAAGAAGTTGATGATTATGAGTTCCTTCAAATTCAGTCACGCGATATTTTCCATTTTCTTGCAACATAAGCCTGATTCTTGCTGCACAACCAGTTCTTCTAATGTCACGACGAAATTTTGCATGAATTCGCCTTTTATCAATACCACGAAAACCTTCATAAGAACAAACAAATGCCCTAGATTTCCAAACACCAGATTTCGTTTTGTATCCCTTAAATATTCTAACACTGAAACCTGCATTTTTAGCATATCCATTATAGAAAGAATATGCATCTTCCAATGTTTGAAACACCATTCCAACTTCAGGTACCCCCTGTTTTTCGCTTACTTCTGAGTCCATATTTTGCTGTGAAAAACTAGCATTAGTGGGGCTGCCACAAATCCCTTCCTTATTAAAATCGACCCTACGTTCCTCTGTAATCTCATTAATTTCTCTATTCCACATGGTACAATCTTCACTACTTGCTTGATTAGGAAGTTCCTCCATTTCCTGAAAAAAAAAACAAATAATTAAACACAATAACTACCACATGTTCAACAATTACACTCTTCACTACAGAACTTTATAGTAGTCGACCCAACTTCAATTTCAGCCATTAAGGAGCCCACAACCTCTTTAATAACTTAATCAAAAAGACAAAGCAATAAGCCATTCAGTTCATTCACTTCAGCTGTTATCGAATGGTACCTAATACTCTTAAAATCAAAATAAATAGGAAATCAGATTTCAGATCTTCAGTAAACAAACCAGTAAGGTTTTGTGATGGAGTTCCAAGTTTCAACATGGCAACTGGGTGAAAATGACGTTTTGATAAAAGAATGGATAGTTGGACACATACCACTTTGATTTTAATGATAACAAAGGAATCCACCAAATGCCTACCACGTGTCAAAGAATTCATTATTTTCATCCTTATTTACTAAAAAATTCAAAAAAATAAGCTAAGGGAGGGGATGTTGTGGACAAGGACATCATCCAAATTACAAATAGGATGAATAGTCTGGTGTCAGCACCACAGTAGAACCCAAAAAAAAGAGAGCCTTAATGACAGCAGAGTACATTTAGGCTAGTTGGGTATGTTTTCATTCAAATCATTTGGTGACCTGTAAATCACTAACCTCTGATAAATTAAGTGGCTAAATTAGGATGGTATTTTTTTCTTTTTGTAAAGGAGTCATCTGGGTATATTGAAAAAAAAAATCACATTGGACCATAAATAAAGTGACTTTGGCCCAGGATATTTGGAGGATTAAAGAAATCCTTCAAAAGAATCAAATGATGGGGATTTCAGGATGCAAAGGAAATGTAGGATAAAATATTTTATAGCTAAACCTACATATAATCAGAGATGGTACTGTTGGATAATCAATTTCTTTACTAACACCTGAGTGGAGTAATTTATATAGAAAAGGAAAAAAAAAAAGAATTAAGAACTTATCAAGGATCTGATCACCTCAATTTAAATTGGAATTAACAATTTGATCTACCAAGAATGTTATAAAGGGAACCATTCAGCTCTCAAGTATCTTTAAGTCCACTGAATGAATGGGAGTAAACAGAGTGGAGCTTCTGAAACTGTTCCTATGGTAATGAGAATTTCTTAAACACCGTTGCTCTTAAAAACTGTTGTTCCCATGATAATGAGATTTCCAGTCTAGTAACGAGATTTCTTGTCCGGCTTTAAGCATCGGTCTAGTAATGAGATCCACTGTAGTCAAACTTGGTTTGATTATCATGGTCAATGTAGGACGGAATAAACACTTCAACTAGGGTTTGATTATTTTAGTCAAACGTCGCCACTGCACGAAACGTGAATCTATGGGAGAACCAGCTTAGCAAGAGGAGGTCGATATGATTAATTGAATTATTTAATCCACAATTGCATACTAGGTAAAACACTACATTTACACCAAATAAGAAAATTTCAATAAATTTTTCTGTCCAGACTAAGAAATTTTTACAATGAAATGGAGCTATTCAATCAAACTAGGGTTTCAATAGACTAACCTTGAGAGCCGCGAGTAGTGAACCTGCGGTGATGAGAGAGAAAGGAAGAAACCAGCAACTCCTTTTCTGTTCGGTGATGAACGAGATACCTTTAAGAAAAAACGGCGATTCCTTCTCTACTCATCGCTAATGGACGGGAGAGCTCAAAGAACCGGCGGATTCTATTAGGGCTCCAATAATAGATGAACGTGAATGAGATGAAAAATGAGAGGGAGCGGCGGCGACTGATTCCCCGTTTCAAATCCGGCGGTGGTGCGGTGAGAGTTGTGTTGTGAGGTGAGAGAGAAACCGAGTGCGGTGCGAATATGATTTAGGTTAGGAGTTACGAGTTACGGCTACGAGTTGATTCTGTAATTACATTTTGCATCTTGAATAATTTGGGTAAATTGCAGTCTACCACCTTATATTTAAGCCATACTGATACTTTGTTCCCCCGAACTTTGATTTGCGACAAAGACCTCCTACTTTATGATTCTAACACATTATCCCCTACCCATTTACAGAGTTAACGGTGAAAGTAAAATTCTACATTGCCCTCTTCCTCTCCACCTTGCTTCTGAATGTAGGGTACCCTGCTAACCTCATTAGATCTTCTATTAATTAGACAAGAACAAACACAAACAAAACGTCACAACGAGAACACCCCCATTTACAACAACAATATTATAAGGTACTTTTTTTTTTTGCCTCACTTCATTTCATTGTTCTAATCCATGCAAGAGGTCAAAGGTGTAATTGAGGCGCAATGGCTCAAAAATGTGAGGTGTAAGGCTCAGAAATTAAGAAAATTATTTAAAGTTTATAAATGATAAATATAGCATAAAATATATCCAGTTTAAATAATAAAAGGTACAAATATCCATAAAATATAAATTTATAGGCAATAAGTTTTAGGTTTTAAGCATTAAATAAGGAAATGTCTAATTAATTAACAATCATAAATATTTTTACATTTTATTTTTCAAAGTATAAAGTTTTCAAATTATTCTGAAATGACCAGTTTAGAAGAAAAAGAAAATAAAACATATAAAGAATCATCTATATAATTGATATTAGATTTATGGTCATCCAATAGTTTAGAAGAAAGGAAGCAAGTTAGTTGATTTGACCTTTGTAAAAAAAGTCAATAAAAAGAAAAATAAATCAATTAAGAAAAGCAATGAGAAAAATAGCAAAATTGGGATGTTGGATTTAGAATAATAAAAAATCCACCTAATTTATCCAAGAGAAGCTAAGAACTTTATTGGCCTTTTATTTTTTACATTGAACTCTCCTAAACACTAAAAATTTAATAGAACTTGATTTGCCCTCAGTTTTCTAGTTTTTACTGTTTTTTTTTCTCATAGTTATTGAAGTGTTTCTTTCATATATTCTGAACTATAAAAATACATAAGAAATATATTTTTTTGCATCGAAACATTAAATAGTCATTGATACTTGAGGTGTGTGCCTTTTTTGTGCTTCAGACATTGAGGCTTCAGGCTTACACCTCATTCTAACAAAGATGTGAAGCATAAGGCAAAATCAATGCACCTCACCTCAATATGTATGCATGCCTAAAGGTTTAAATCATTTAAAACAACGCCGACGTGCAGCCAAGCCTAATGTTAGCCTGATGCCACCTCCCACTTACACAACTACTAATGATGTTTCAAATGAGTTCCACCATTACAAGATATAGAAAGCATGGCAATGGTGCAACCATTAGTTGTCTTCACTATCATATAGACCTAATAACAAACACTTTGTTGTAGCCATAGTGAATTTGAGGTTAGTGACAAAGATGATGATATACTATTCTATTTTTTTCTGGTAGCGGGTGGATGATGTTTTGCTTTTTTATTGTTGTTTTGTTTCACATACTCTTAAACCTAGTTGTGGTGACAAAGTTCGGTATTCTTATAGTGGCCATGGCGTCTATATTGTTTGACCTAACCTAAACATGGTTCTTTCCATGAATGGATGACAACAGGGGTGGAATTAGGAATTTTTTATGAGGGGTGCCAAAAACTAAAGTGAATTGGAGGGGGGAGAATATATATATATATGTGTGTGTGTGTGTGTGGAGGAACATAGTGTAAGTGGGGATTTCTATGCCATAGGGGGGGGGGGGGGGGGCATGGCTCTCATAGTGTAAGTGAATTGGATGTGCTGGATAAAATCATACACACTGGGCTACACACGGGGCTCATATGGGACCCACACCTCATGTACACACAACACTAGTGTGTTCATAGGAGATAGGTTCCCCAACATGGTTGCATGATTTTGTCTCCAACCAATCCAAACTTTTGTATGTGGCTTGCTTCTAAGTAGGGATGGTAACAGGGAGGGTTTTGTAAATTATAGACCCTACTTATTTTCCTAAACCTTCCAACCCATATCTGTCCCAAAACCTATAACGGGTTGGATTTTGAGAATCCAAACCATTCCCATACATGAAAATGCAAAATCCTTCCCAACCTACCCTCCTCGCATTCAAGGGTAGGGTTGGGTTGGGTTGGGTTTAGAATCTGATATTATTTCCTCTTATTTTTTGTCACATATAAGCAATAGATAAGTAAAATAACACAAATAAACAACAAAAATTCAATTATTTGATTAAGATATGTAGAAAACACATAAATTATCAATTACTCTTCACATAAAATTCAAAATATTATTAAATTTAACATTTAATACATAAAGTTTATATGGTTTCCAACAATATATAAGTTGGATTTAGCCTAATACCGTAGTTTCCTTTATGAAAAGGGTTTGGAATATCAAAATTCAACTTGCTATGGGTTTTGGAGCGGTACGGGTTGTAAAATCCCAAAACCCATACTTCAAATGTAAAATCCCACCAATCGAGAAGGATACCCATGGGTAGGGTAGAAATTGCCACCACTGGTTTTAAGTTTGAACATTCCAACTTCCAAGTTGCACTTAGAAAATATGTAAGAATTGGCGTAATATAAAATCTGAGTAAAAAAAAAAAAGGACAAAATGGTCTCATAAAACAACGCAATTGGGTTTTGAAATAGCATGCAACAGTTCCGGGGGGGGGTTGTCGCATAACAAAGTTTCAGGGAGCTAAGTTTCATCAGTCACTAAGTATAAGGTCGTTATCTGTGAATATTTAAAATAAAACCACCGGTTAATTGCGATTCGCCCTTTTAGTTAGTTAGTTATTAGTTAGTTACTGTTAGCGGCCGTCACTGTTAGAATCTTTGTCACTCGTAGAGGAGGGCAAGAATGCACAGTAAAATTTGGATTTGACAATACATGAACGAGTTGCAGACTCGGTGGACACCGAAGTACCGAACCGAATCAGGCCGAATTGAATTTGACCCGCGATTTAAACACGAGAAAACCTTACCGGGACTCGGAGTCTGAGGAATCGGTACAGTCACTGTGAATTGTGATCACTGATCACGAGGAATTGGAGGCTTGAAGCCGATACACTCGCAGTAAATTGGGACAGTCGCAGCAAACGACGATACGAATAGCCGTTTGCCTTCGGGACCACGACGCTTGAGAGTCTGAGAGGAACTAGCCCTCGATTTCGAGGACACGGACGTACATGGCTCCATCCAGCTCAATGTGCTTGGATATTGCAGGGAAAGACGGGACAAAGGGGTTAGTTAATCTTTTAGATCCTGTTTTCGTTTTGATACTCGAGGATTTTGCTGAATGTGAGTGAGTTTGATCCGCCATTATTAGATTAGAAGGAGATAGATTGCAGAGAATTCGGACGGTGGTGGAAGGCCTGAAGGATTTTTGTTTGTTTTTTTTTTTTGATAATTAAGGCCTGTAGGATTTTTGATGCGGAGCAAGAGGAGGTAGTGGCAGGTCCGGCAACCGCAGGGCGAGGAGAGGATCCGTGGTCTGAGAGTCGCTAGGAATCTGGTATGGAAGTATAAAGTATGAACAGTGCGCTTTTCGTCTGCAATGGTAATGACCTAACAAAGTAGTACATCATCAAATTACTCTTCCTAAACCCTGTTCAAGCCTTCCAGGTTCAACAGTTCAACTCAAAGTTTTTGCCCTTTAATCCCTGTGCAATCCTTTTCGTGATGGGACGAAAAGCGAAAGGGAGAGGACGTGTTGGCTGAAAATAATAGGATTTTTTCTTCTGTTGAGAAGATCAACTGATAGATCTTTATGCCTCCCTCAAAACCCGCAAGTTCGACCCCCCCCTGCTTTCACTTCTGTTTTACTCTCGGAATCAAAGTATAGACTTCTCACTGTCTCAGAAATCAATTTGCTAACCGAGGATAGTTCTGGTTTTGGGGCTTTGCAGAACATCTCAAGGTTTTCTTCTTCTCCACAGACTTCTCATTCTCCTTTTGAGCTTAAAACCACAATGAGACCATCTTGTTATCATCGCTTTCTCTTTCCATCAAGCGGTGGTCACTGGTTCCGTTCTCAGACCATTTTTGAACCCAAGACCTCCGATGGCCTTACTGTCGATGTCATTGTTGCTAGTTGATGGACTATAACTCTGACGAAAGCGAAGGCGATTGGAAGAGTCACGCCACTACCACCGCTCAATCCATTCAGCTAATCAAGAAGCGCTCAGGTGGAATTACTATGTCCTCATTTCGGTGATCTTAATTCTGTTTAGTGAATCATGTGATAAGTTTCTCTCGTTCTTGTTGACATTCTTGTTTTCTGGAATTCATTAAGTCTCATAAGGCGTGTAAGTCTGTATTGGTCGTATTGGATGCCGTATCTTACTTCACTATATTTCAATTTCGACATGAAGTGTCAGTTTTGTATGATGACAGTGGAAGACGACGGTAGTCAGGTTAGAGATGCTATCAATCTAACCTTTGGGATGGCCCTGTCATGCTGGGAAGATAAGCCGTGAGCATGGTACTCTAATGGGTAAATGAAGGAAGTGAATGGATTTGAGCGAGAATTACTCGAACACATTGATATGCGAAAGCTTGCATGCAAAGAGAATGATGGAGAATTGAAATCAATGGGCCGTTGCAACTTCTTCCTCCAGGCATGCATTCTATCTACTTTCTTATTGCATCATTTTGTCCTCGGATTTGAGATGACTGTAGTAAGCTAGGCAGGAAAACATTTAAAAATTGTGCAGTTATCTTGAAAGATGTAATCCTGTATAAAAACATAGGTTGTATGTTTATGACATGATTTAAGCTAACAAATATAGTCTGTCTCATATCTGATATGATTTGAACTTACAAGTGTAACTAAATTTGAAAATTAAAACTTCCATAAATAATCAAAGGGAAAATCTATTCTGCTGGAAAGACAAAATACCAGAAGGGTTTGACCAATCAAAACTCTCCTGTGAATTTTGATAAATGCCACCTGATTGGTTGCCACTTTTATGATACTGGTTCCTTGGTTACAAGTTTTTCTAATATCAAGTCTTTCTGCTACCATAGTCGGCCTCATAATCAAAACTAAATTAATCTGTGGACCGTTATTTTGCTTGTAAAATGTTTCTGTATTTATATAGGTAAACCTACTCTTGGTTAGATGTCTTACACAGGTGCAAACAGATTTGGAGCCCAAAGACATTACAAAGTAATACACTCTCATACCAACTAAAAGAATATGCACCTTGAAAAAGGTGACATTAACTATGCAGTGAGCATGATTGCCGAAAGCATGCAATGATCTGGATTTAATATCTCATGATGGATATGCAAATTTTAATATAAACTTGACGTTTCCTGATGAGATACTGCTCACCTCAGGAGTCTCTTCGAGGGAGACCCTTCCTCCTGCGCAGAAATGAAGAGAGAGAGAGAGAGAGTATGGCTTCAATTGCATATCCTTTTATTCGGCCAACCCATATTTATAATGGTTTTTGAGTTACAAAATATTCTAACAAACTCTGTCATCTCTAACGAACTCATGCAGAGGGACCAGCTGACATGTTGCCTGTTGCAGTTAGGTGCTGATACGGTTTGCCTGGGTTCTTCCTTAGGTAAGTGCGAGTGACTGGAGGCCTGGGCCTTGATTCCCAACAGTTCCCCCTCCCTCAAGATGGGCCTTGTCCTCAAGGTCCAAGTCTGGAAATTGATTTTTCAGCTGCCAATATGGTTCCCACGTGGAGTCATGGTGGGGGAGCCCTGTCCAGGTTACTAAGGCTTCTTGCACTATGTTCTTCCCGTGATGGACCCAACGGTAATCCAGTATCTTGGCAGGTTTGAGGGTAATGCTTCCATCTTCAGTAGATGTTGGGAGGTTGTCACTAACCTTGGTTGGATCTCCCACGTACTTCTTAAGCAATGAAATGTGAAAAACTGGGTGGAGATGAGCTGTCTTGGGCAGGTCCAGGCAGTAGGCAACATTGCCTATCTATTCAATTATCTTGAACGGCCCAAAGTAGCGAGGAGAGAGCTTATGCCAGGCCCTTTTTGCTACTGAGGACTGTCGATAGGGTTGCAGCTTGAGGTAGACGTAGTCCCCAACCTGAAAGTCGACGGCCCTATGCTTTTTGTCGTACTGCTTCATGAGTTGTTGGGCTTTGTGTAAGTTCTCCTTCAGGAGGCTGAGTACTTCGTCTCGTTTCAACAATTGGGTCTCAACTTCTGCTACTGTGGTTGAACCCAGTTCGTACAGAAGGATAGGTGGTGGTTCTCTTCCATATATTGCTTTGAATGGTGTCATTCCTGCTGCCGCCTGGAATGTAGTGTTGTACCAGTACTCGGCCCATGGGAGCCACTTCGTCCAATGTTTGGGCCTGGAACCCACAAAACAATGTAGGTAAGTTTCCAAGCATCTATTCAGCACCTCGGTTTGTCCATCAGACTGAGGGTGATAGCTAGTAGATCGATGAAGCACTGCCCCCTGTAAACGGAAACATTCCTTCCAGAACTTGCTGAGGAAGGCCGGATCCCGATCCGAAACGATCGATTTGGGGGTACCATGGAGTCTTGCCACTTTAATGAAAATTTTAGCCACTGAAGCAGCGGTGTAGGGATGTGTGATAGGGCGATGAAGTGCCCATACTTAGAAAGCTTGTCAACCACCACCATAATCATTGTCTTGCCCCCAGAAGGTGGAAGGCTAGTGATGAAGTCTAAGGATATATCTTCCCATATCTGTGATGGGATTGGAAGGGGTTGCAGGAGCCCAGGAGGGGATTGGGCCGAGTACTTTTGTTGCTGGCATACTGTACACTGTGCTACGTGTTGCTCCACTGCCTTTTTCATGTTGGGCCAATAAAAATGTGATGAGAGCCTCTTATAAGTCCGAAAGATACTTGAATGCCCTCCCAACACCGAATCATGATAGAGCTTGTTTTCTTGGTGCTGAGATGGTGTGATTCCAGAACGGAGAGAATAGAAGAAGGAGAAGGGAGAAGAGAGAAAAGAGAGACAAAATTGAAAGAGGCAAAAGTCAACTGGCAGCACCAGTTTATTTTGGTATATATACTAGGGCGACCATACATAAAAAATAAAGGAGGAAATTACAAAGGTGCCCTTGCGGCACTAAACTTAAAATAAAGTTATGTTATTTCAACACTCCCCCTCAAGTTGGGACGTAGATATCAATCATGCCCAACTTGTCACATAAATCATCGCGCCACGAGTGATGTAAGCCTTTTGTACATATATCTGCCAGTTGCTCTTTGTAATTCACATATGGGATGCACACTTCCCCATTAACAATTTTCTCTCTAATTAAGTGTTTGTCAACCTCTATATGCTTAGTTCTATCATGAAGAACTGGGTTGGCTACAATATTGATGGCAGCCTTGTTATCACAATACAAGGACATAGGACCATCAACAGGAAAACCCAGTTCGCTCAACAGATTCTTTATCCACATGCCTTCAACCACCCCATGGGACATTGCTCTATATTCAGCTTCAACACTAGACCTAGCCACCACATTTTGTTTCTTGCTTCTCCATGTGACTAGGTTTCCTCCCATAAAAGAACAATACCCACTAGTAAACTTTCTGTCATCAACTAATCCAGCCCAATCAGCATTTGTATATACTTCAATCTTCAAATGACCATTCTTTTGGTATAACAAACCAGCTCCAGGAAACCTCTTTAAGTATCTAAGTGTTCTTTCTACTGCCTCTAAGTGTGTGGTCTTAGGAGCATGCATGAACTGACTAAGAACACCTACTGCATAAGCAATGTTTGGCCTGGTCATGGATAAATACAGGAGCTTTCCCACAAGTCTCTAGAATTGTTTTACATCTTTGACAACTTCCCCACAACAGTCACCCAGTTTGTGATTTGGATTAATGGGAGAGTCGGTTGGCTTAACCCCTAGTTTTCTTGTATCCTGTAACAGATTTAGGATGTATTTCCTCTGAGAAATGAAGATCCCCTTTTGAGAGCGAGCCACTTCAATTCCAAGGAAATATCGAAGGGGACCTAGATCCTTCACCTCAAATGTAGTGGCTAAGAAATCTTTTAGTCTTTGAATTTCAGCCTTTCAGTCAACTGTGATCACTATGTCGTCAACATACACTATCAAAGCTGCAATCTTTCCTTCCCCTCTTTTCACAAATAGAGTATGGTCAGTCTGACATTGTTTGTAGCCAATATGCTGTATAGTCAGATGAAACTTGCTGAACCAGGTTCTTGGTGATTGCTTCAAACCATACAAAGACTTCTTTAGTCTACACACTTTCTGCTCTTTGCCTAGGGCACTAAAGCCAGGAGGTTGAACCATGTATACCTCTTCCTCAAGGTCTCCATTCAGAAAGACGTTTTTAATGTCTAGTTGATGAAGATCCCAATCAAGATTTGCCGCAAGGGAGAAAATGACTCTAGTGGAGTTCATCTTGGCTACTGGGGCAAAGGTCTCTGCATAATCTACACCATATACCTGGGTAAACCCTTTTGCCACCAACCTAGCCTTGTACCTTTCTATCGTGCCATCAGCTTTGTGTTTCACTGTGAACACCCACTTGCACCCTATCGGTTCCTTACCCTCAAGAAGATCCACTAATTCCCATGTACCATTTTTATGTAGGGCATTTATCTCTTCTTTCATTGCATCTGTCCATTCAGGTACTAAGAGAGCTTCTGCCACATTTTTTGGGATAAGGACACTGTCAATGGAAGAAATGAAAGCACGAAAGGAGGGTGAGATGTTCTCATAGGTAACAAAATGGGTAATAGGATACTTGGTGGTACAAGAACTAACTCCCTTCCTTTTTGCAATAGGAATGTCAAGGTCATCACCAGATGGAATTTCTATGGCAAGAGGAACAGGAACATCAATAGGGATGATAGTACCTGGTTGGATATGATCTGTCTTCGGTGAATCTGATGATGTTAGCGGTACGGTTTCAAGTTGCTCCATAGCTCTCAAATTTAGCTGGCCCTTGCGACGACGAAAAACACGGAATGGAGGAGGGTCAGGCAAAGGAGGAAGAAACCGAACCTGAACTAATTTCTCCTCCACCTTACTCTCTCACTGAGGAGAAATCGGGAAAAAAAGCTCACTTTCAAAGAAAGGCACATCCATAGAGACATAGTACGTCTTGGAAACGGGATCAAAGCATCGATAGCCTTTTTGGGAAGAAGGATAACCCAAGAAGACACAAGGAATGGTACGAGGATCAAGTTTTCCACAAGTAGGAGAAAGGTCCTGGACGAAACAATGACAACCAAACACACGAATAGGAATAGAGAAGAGTGGAGCCTTGGGAAAAAGAAGCTGATGGGGGGCCTTGTACCCTAACAAGCGAGATGGCATACAGTTGATGAGATAGGCAGCACAAAATACAACATCCAACTAGAAATGTTTAGGAACATTCATGTGTATAAGTAACCCACGAGCAACTTCAAGGAGATGACGATTCTTTCTTTCAGCAACACCATTTTGCTTAGGGGTTTTAGTGCAAGAGCTACAGTGTATGGATCCGCACGAGGAAAAGAACTCCGTGAGATCATTATGGAAATATTCTTTGGCATTGTCTGATTGGAAAATTTGGATTTCTGTTTGAAACTGAGTGAATATCAAGCGTTGGAAATCTTTAATGATTTTTG